TCTATAATTCCGACGAAATTATAAGCTTTTATAGAAATAATTTTAATCTTAGTTTCTATAATATTTATAAGTTAAATAAACTTATTACTAGTAAACTATTTTCTAGTATTTACTATAATCTAATTAGAAGGGCCTAAATAAGTATTAATTTAATATTACTTTAAGATATCCTAAATATATAATATACTAATATTTTAAAGCTATTAGCTAGTTTAATATTAAGTACCTTTATTAATAATATAAAGTATAGGCTTACTAGAAATATAGAAAATATTAATAATAATAAAGTAATTAAAGCTAATATTATTTTTTAGGTTAAACTTGAATTATTCTAGTAATTATTCGAATTTCTGGTATTACTTAAGGGCTTTTATATTAATATTATAGCTTCTTTATTCTAATATATTTTAGAGCTTACTAATAAATAAATAACTAAAATAGTAATATAGATATTATAATGCGATCTTTATAAGAAAACAGGAATTATAAATAAAGAATTCGGAAATAAAGCTTTATAGAATAGTATTCTAAAGCAAGAAAGAATATCTAAAATATTATATTATAGATATAAAGTATCTAGTAAAAGTAATAAGATAATTAATAAGATTATTAAAGTAGATTCCTAGCTTGTCTATATTAGCTAAGCTAAGTATAAATAAAGTTTTTATAAATATAATATGAAATTATATTTACCTAATTAGTATTCTTATTATTATAGATCTAATAAAAAACATAAATCCGATACTAAACTAGATATTAACTTAATCTTTAGTAATTTCATTAAGTTAGATATTACTATTAGTCTATTATAAAGCTTGGAATTAGTTAGAACTAGTAATTAAAAATCTAGAAACTCTAGTATTAATTATAATTCTATAAAAGTAATAAGTATTATATCTTAATATATTATTAATTATAAATATCTAAGCGTCTTCTATTTATTTAATAGGCTTTAAAATATAGTTTTTATCTATTATCTAATATATAAGAAAAAGAGAAATAAGATTATTTATAAGAATATTAGTTATAGAAATAGTAGAAGCAAGAGTAATAAAAGTAGCTAGGAAGCTCTTAATAAAAATAAAGTAGGAATCTGAGTAATATTTCTTTTCTTTATTTATTTCTGCTAGTAAAGCTTTAAAAGTATTATTCTCTAGTTTGTTTTTATTATTTGTATTATTTTCTTTTTCTTTAATTTTAGTAATATACTATATATAAGTATTACTAAAGTATTTATTAAAGTTATAGAAGTTTCGGGATCTAAATTAGTAAATATTTTTATTCTTAAATCAAGCTTTCTTAGTTTTTTATTTCTCTAATATATACTTCTATAAGTAGTATTCGAGTTTCTTATATATAAAATACGATTTCGGAATATAATTATTATAATTATAGGACTTAAAATAATTATTACAAATTCCGAAGTTATAGCTAGATCTGTATTAATAATTTCTAGATAAATAGTAACTTAGAGAGTTTTAAGAATAGTATTATTAATTAGTAAAAAGAATCTTAGTATTAATTTATTATTTCTTTTTATAAGTAATAATAAATAATTAGAGCTTATTAATAAATTAGCTAAGATTAGGAAAAGAATCCGAAACTATATATTAATATACTAGTATATTTTAATAAAAAGTAATAATCTTATTATATAGAAATTCGGTATTTTATAAGGCAGGTACTAGTTTATATTATAATTTATATAGGCTATTAATTAGTAACTAAATAAGCTCAAATATTTTTTTTTTAGAATATTAAGCTATTATAATTATTATTATAATAGTATTTTACTTATCTAAGTTTTAATATTAGAAATCAGGGCTTTTAAAAAAGCTATAAATATTTATATAGGCCTCTTTATATATATATATTAAAAGAGCTAGTTATTATAAAAGTAATCTTATACTAGTTTCTTTAATATAATAGGGAAAGCTCTTATTAATACCTTTTATAGAAGCTTTATATATTAATAGATATTAAGGAAAATAGCGAGTTTTTAATTAAAACTATTATTAGTTCTATTATATTTCTATATCTTAATATATATCTTTATTATTTCTCTAATTAGCTTTATAATAAAAGGGCTAGCTAAAGGGCTATTTAGAGATAATAAAAGTAATAGAAGATTATTAGCTTTAGTTTTCTATAGTCCGGTATTAGTAAAAGTAGTTATAAATAATAAAAAAATAATAGATAATAAAAAAGTATAAGTAATAATTAGTTTAGTATATTAATTTCTTATAATATTATTATTTAGGAATATATATAATAAGGTAATAAGGCTTGCCTTAAGGTCTTATCTAGTAATAATAATATTATTAATAGTTTAGATATATTATTTTTCTCTCTAAATAGTATTAACTAAGGATTATATAATAGTAAAGTAACTATAATTATATTTAATATAAATATTGCTATATTATAAAGTAGCTCGTAATTAATATAGTATATATTAGTCTAGTTAATTAAATATCTCAGGATTAAAGTTATTAAAATCTTCCTTAAATAATTCCTAGAGGTTCTTATTAGTTAACTTTTTTATCTTATACTAGAATAATCTAATATTAAAGTAATTCAAGATTTCCTTATAATTAGAACTAGCTAGGTTAATACTATTTTTCTATTTCTTTATTTATTTATATTTATTCTAAAGATTTATTATCCCGAACCCTTAAAACTAAGCCCTTCCCGGTATATATATATAATTTATAGTAAGAGGAGTTTAAGGATAAGATAGTTTATAGTAGGTTTATAGAAAAGGTTTAGTAATAAAGGTATTTAGATATCTAGTTTAGATATTAGATACCTGATTTAGATATCTAGTTAAGATACTAGATATCTGATTCAGATATCTAATTAAGATACCAGATATCTAGTTAAGATATTAGATGCCCCAGATATCTAGAAATATTAAGAGTATTAAAGTAAATATTTTGCCTTTAAATATTTCATTCGTAATAAGAAATTTAGAAAGTAAAATATTATAATTCCGAGAGAGATCTAAAGCTCGAAGAACTCGATTTAATAATAAAATCGAAGTAGTAATTAAAGAGCTTTAAGGATATATATAGGGTATATATTTCGAAGAAAGGGTTTTATAAATACGGGTATTATATAAGTAGAAAAGATAATTTCCAAGAAAATAGTCTTAGAGCTAAAAGAAATTAGTTTTAAAAGATAATAGAAGTTAAATAAATAAATAGTTAAATAACTAACTGCTTATTAATTAGTAAGAACTAAAGTCTTTTTCCTTAGGCTACCAGATACTTTTTTATAAAGTTAATAGGTAATTCCTTTCTTTAATATAGTTAGATTAATATTACTAAGAGCTACTAGATATTTCTTTTAGTATAACTATTCTGTTTCTAATCTATAAGTACTAACTAATTAGTACTAGTTTATTAGTAATATATAGTACTATTATATAGTTATAAAATATTATTTATATAAGTTAGTAAAGTTATTATTCAGAAATAGAAATTATAGTATTATAGTATTAATATATAATTCCTAAATCTACTAAGCCTAAAGAAGTCTAGTCTACTAGTTAAGTTACTTATAGGACACGAGGTTATATAACTATATCCCGTATCTTATATCTTATTACTTATATCCCGTATCCCGTATCTCGTAATTATATATATAACTCTTAAAGAAATAGCTATACTAATACTAGCTTTATAATATAGTATAAAAGCTTAAAATTAATACTATTAGTATTTATAATAAAAGTAATTTAATTAATTAAATAATACTATAAAAGCTAAACTAAATAAATATATTAGATTAATAATAAAATATAGCTTAAGTATTTATTAAAAATAAAAAACGACTTTTTTCTTTTTTCTTATTTAATTTAAGAAAATCTTAACTAATTAGTTCCTTTATTTTATTTATAATTATATATAAATTATATAAAAATAAGTTTATATTTACTAAGATAATTAGTATTTCTTATTTCTTATTTATAATCTCGCTATTTTTATAAAATATTTCTTTTAATAAAGCTCTTATTTCTTTTTTAAATCTATTATAAAATCTTTTATCTCGAAATTATTTTTTTAATTCTATTAAATTAAAGTTATATAAATTAAATTTTATAGAAATTTTAGATAAGCTATTAAAGCTACTTTTAATAAATATATTAATATAGCTTAAAGGCTTGTAATTAGAAAAATAATTATTAATTATTATATTTAATTTAATTTCTCGAAACTTCCTTTATTTTGGGGTTTAAAATATTTAATTAATATTATAATATTATTATTTAGTAATTTTTATATTTGACTATATTACGAAAATATTAGAAATATTTAAATAATAAAATAATTAGAATTGTTTTAAGAAATATCTTATAGCTTAAATAATCTTAATTAGTAAATAAAGTATCTTTTTAGGTATTAAGGTAAAAGAATTTTCAGAAAGTTCATATAAATAAATTAGAACTCGAATTAATTATTATATTTTAAAGAATTTATTTACAGGCTTAATTTTTTAGTTAAAAGAATTATAGCTTATAAAAGCGGCTTAAAAATATTATTATATGTAATTTTTATCCTATATCTTTATTTCATATTTTACTCTTTATTTTTATTTCATGCCTTTGCCTTTTATTTTTATTCTAAAGCTCAAATTAATTTCTTATTTATTATAGTGGCTGGTGGAGTGGACGGTGCGCAGGTAAGAATGAATGCATATTTTAGGATCTTGAGGCGGAGTTCAGTGGGCAGGGTGAGTAAAGTTGGGGGTGGAGGTTGCGGGGCTATCCTCGTGGTCATAGTGGTGAAATTTATTTGGTGAAGGTGAAGTGAGGACGTGAGATTGAAGAGTGAGTTCCGCAGCGCAGTGAGGTCATTCTGAGGTCCCGCTACAAGCCGCGCTCAGCCCCGCAAATTTCCCCCAATCTCATGGCACAGCCACAATTTCCCTTCTTTCTTGCACTCCATTTCCAACACTCCTCATTCACTTGTATGACTCAGTGCAAACCCCAAGAAGTTTTCTCGTCTCAATTTATTCCAATGTTCTATTTCCGAAAACATGACGTTATGTGCGGCGAGGCTCGGCGAGTGCCTGACCTTAGACCTGGTCCTTAGGCTCGAAGGCGCAAATGAGTCACCATGAGTCGAGCTTCATCACTCTCTATCAACTCCCCGATTGGGCTTCACAGGAGACGCAACAATTTACAGCCTCGATTGAGATCCAATACAAGACGAATTGAGAGGTACAAGTATTACTCTCCATTCCTATGTTCATTGTCTCTTCAATTCATTCATCAACAACGACAACTTTTACGCTTTAGTTGGAGAAGAGAGGGTTCTGCCAATCAGTACACAAGTTATGCCAGACGCAACGACAAACACGACAACGGCAGGCGCAAATACCACTGAGCAGGAGCTCAGTTGCACAACATGCCTTGCAAATTTCGAGAGTAAGGAGGCGAAGAGAGCGCATATGAAAGAGGAGTGGCAGTGAGTTCCATTTCGTCATTGGATTGTTGCAGAGTTGACGAGAACAGCGTTTATAACCTGAAACGAAAGATTGCTGCACTACCTCCGATTTCCTTCAAGGTATTCGACACGCAAGTGCTAGCCTCGGAATCTGGAAGTGAGGATGAGAGGTGGGAGGCACATGCCAAGGCAAAGAACCACGTCATGAGGTCCGACGAGCTGGAATCTCTTGCACCGGAAGACTTTGCTTCACTCAGCCCTCTTTCGTCTAATGAGGAAGAGGATTTTGACCCGGCGCAATGCCTATTCTGCAACTTGGAGTCTCCTTCGATGCAGGACAATTTGAAGCATATGTCCGAGGCCCACACTTTCATCATCCCTTCCGCTGACCACCTCACCGACGTCCCCTCCCTGCTCCATTACCTCCATATCCTGGTCTACGTCTTCCACGAATGTCTTTTCTGTCATAAGGAAAGAAATACAAAAGCTGGAGCGCAGGACCATATGCGAGGGAAGGGGCATTGCAAGCTCGATCTTGACGACGAAGAGAGTGAGCTGTGGGAGTTCTATGATTTCGGTTCCGAAGGAAGCGAAAAGGGCGATGTGGAGATTAGAGACGGCGTGGTGAAGATCGAAGATTCGCTCCGTCTCCCATCCGGCAAAGTCCTAGGTCATCGAACGCAACCTCGATCATCCCAACGACATCCCTCAACGCGACGACGCTCTAAATCTCCTCAGCAACATCTTCTCACTGAAAGTGGAGATGAAGCTGAAATATCGACTGACACTACGGAATCGAAGGATCAGAAGGTGGTATTGAGAAAAGGTGCGGAGATGAGTCTAGCGGGAATATCAGGCCTGCAGCAACGGGCTTTGATGGTGATGGAGAGGCAGAGGGAGGGTCTTCAGGCTAGGGTCAGGAATGAGTATCAGGGCAGTCTGGAGAGAGGCGCGAATAGGCAGAAGAGGTTTAGGGTCAAGCATATGGGGAAGAAGAGGGGTGGGTTGGAGAAGAGGTTGGGGTGAGGAGGTGCGGGAAGGAGCATGATATAGGTCCAGCAACGAGGAGCGCTGCTTGATGAGGACTGCAGATGCATTGCACACTGGCAGAGTACAGATTGTACCGGACACCAATTTATGGGAACAAATGCAGATGTGCATGCGGTGCCTCGTTCGGCATCTTCCGGAGGGGCTTAATGGGGGGCCTTAGGGGGGAAGAGTATGCAACCCCTGGATATTGGGCTGGCAACGTTGCCCAGCACCATTCATTGACTGCACAATAGTTTTCAACAAATAATAAATGTTTACAGTATCAGCAACACATTTTCAAATTCTCATTCCAGCCAGAATGTGAACTAGACTCAATCGAGAAGAGATAGATTAAGTTGATCACGTGCAGCCCTTTCTCGTCATGCCATCACATGCATTTTTCTTCACAACATCTGACACCGGAGACGAGCTCCAACCATTCACCTCCAATCAACGTCTCCTCCACACCGCATTTGCCCTTCCCGCCCCTGCCCGCCACGCTTTCATTCGGTGCAGAAATGTCCTAAACGCCGCAGGAACATACGCCGAGGCCCTCCCAGCTGCAGTTTCGAGGTCAGTAGGATCACAAGACTTCTCGAGCTTACCACAACGATGACCTGGCTCCGCAAGATTCCGCCTCCTCTCCAGTCACGCCTTCGTTCTGCATGCGCAGATTGTGATTGATAGAATATAGTGTGCTTAGAGCATTGGCTGTGCTGGTATCCTTGTGGCGGTTGTTTCCTTCATGGACTCACATGTCAATCTTGGCGCTTTGTTCTCGAAGCTGCATTCCTCCTTGGGGTTTCTCTTTCTTCTCTACGATAGACTGCATCAAATGCCACGATGATAGGTATGGCCTCCGCAGACCAAAATTGCCTATGGATTGCTAATTGAGGCTCTTCAGATCATGTTTTGGGTCGCCCGTCGGTCAGGTTTCGACGAGTCCAAGTCCTGGCAGTTGTCTCGTTCTGGTCATTCTACCTCTTCAGGTACGTTTGTCTTCTTTCTCGAGGTAATGCAGTAGCTAACTTCACTGCAGAGGACATAAACATGGCCCTCCTACGATACGCAAACTGTCCCGAGGACTCTCGAATTCCCTCACACCATGGCAGACGGTGGTCATAACGATGCTTTACCTCTACATTGCACGAAACCTGAGCAAATTACTCGGCCTCGAATGTCCCGAACCTCTGGCAAACCTCTACACGCGATCATACTTCCGCGCAACATGGGTGACAACAGCATTGGATGCTGGATTCTGGACAGCGATGCGGCTGCGCCGGAAGTGGTTGAGGGACCTCTGCAGCATCGTCTTCACGGCCTACTATCTCATTGCTGCTGAACAAGCCGATGAGAAGGTCAGGAAGGTCAGAGGGATGGTGACGGTTGAGCATTTGCGTGTCAGTTGGAATAAGGGCACGACGCCGTATCTCGCATTCCTTACGAATTTGATGCGACCTCAATTCATGAGATATCCTCCCCGCGCGATCAGAATCCCGAGACCTCCGAATAGCGATTACAAGGAACCTGTCAACGGCTGGCTGTATTTTGATGGGCCGCTCTCGGCGCTCAAGAATCACACAAAGCTGGTGTTGGATATTCCTGGAGGCGGATTCGTGGCGATGAACCCGAGAACAAACGATGACAAGCTTTTTGCATGGGCTGGGAAGACGGGTCTTCCAGTCTTGAGTTTGGATTACCGAAAGGCTCCCGAGTTCCCCTACCCATATGCGCTGAACGAATGCTTCGATGTGTACAGTACGATCATTGCAAGTCGTGGCAAATGCGTTGGTATGTCGGGAGAGGTTGTACCGAAGATTGTCATTACGGGTGACAGTGCGGGTGGAAACCTTGCTACCTGTCTTACCCTCATGGTCATCGAAGCCGGTTCCACCGATACACGAAAGTACCTTGGTCAAACCAGTCTTCCGATTCCAGATGGTCTTATCTTGATGTACCCGGGCTTGGATATGAACATCGGAAACTGGATGTCTGACGAGCAGATGTCGTTGATTAAGGACAGAAGAATGAGAAAGACCAACAAGGCCATTCTCCGAAGAAAGAGCATGCAATACACCCTGGCAGCAGGCACACCCCATCAGTCCGAAGAAGAAGATAATGGCTCCACGCCAAAAGTCACCTCTCCACCAGCTGTCACGAACCTCCAGCCCGTCCGCCCAACATCCATCACCCTCCCTTCCCCGCAATTCTCTACAGCAGGACCAACCCTGCTCTCCCCAACCACTCCCCGAAAACACCCACCTCCCGAGCACCAAGCCTCGGGCTCGCACCATCCAGAACCACTGAAGACACGCCTGGCAATGTCAAGCATGATCTCTTACTTCAACGACCGTATCCTCTCCCCCGAAATGATGCGAGCGATGATTATCCTCTACATAGGCCCACATAACCGTCCCGACTTCTCGCAAGATTACCTACTTTCTCCCATTCTCGCCCCTGACTCTTTACTCTCACAGTTCCCGAAAACCTATTTCCTCACAGGAGAGCGTGACCCCCTTGTCGACGACACTGTCATCTTTGCCGGCCGCATCCGCAGGGCAAAAGCCGCCGCACACGCACAGCAATCCTCAGATGTCCGGCTAAGAAAAGAGTTCGACGACCGAGATGTCGTGGAAGTGGCTCTCATCCCAGGTATCTCGCACGGATTCCTGCAGTTTGTAGGTGTCTTTCCCGAGGGGTGGAAATACATCCATCGCTGCTCCCGCTGGATCGAACATATCTTCGCCGCGTCAGAAGAACGGGAACTCAATTCCCAGACTACAATCTCCACGCCTGGACCTTCTGGATACTTGAGCTCCTCGAGTAGAGGTGGCCATCAGCATCATCAGAGGAGACGAACAGAGAGTTCAGGGGATGAAGACATGGGGCTGGAAATGAGTATGTCCTCGAGAGGCAAGAGGGAAGAGGAGCGAAAGAGGAAAGAGAAATTGTTGAAGGAGCAGTTGAGGGAGAAGGGCGAGAGAAGTAAGGACACAAGCATGCGGAGGCAGAAGAGCATGGTTAGTTTGGCGAGTGAGGACGATTTACTCGGACGACGGATGTTGGGGCTTGTGGGCCCGTTGACGAGGAATACAGAGGATGATGATTGATGATTGATGTCACTATAGCTGGTTGGAGAATACGATGCGAAGATTTGATACGCGGTTTCTAAATCTGTGCTTCGTGATGTGAGGGCCAACGAGTGTTGGATGGAGGACGAGAGTGTGGCGGTTTTTGTTATGTTTCTTGGAGACACCGGCAGTTCTCTTCTTCCTGATTCTGATGACCGGTGAGTGTTGGGTGTGGAATATTCCTCATGTCTAGTGACATCACAATTCCTCGGAACCTCGATCTAGACATCACTGATAAGAGTTTGACAGCAAGGGGGTGAATGATGCGAAGAGTGGCGAGCTTTTCTCAAGTTCCAGGCGGCGAGATTGGCTCACCTCAGGAAGCAACACAAGCGCCACAGCAGGGGCGGGATGATACACTTCATGGAAGTGAGAACAAGAAATCATAAACAAGGAACACAATTTAGAGCAGGAAGTATAGGGAGGAAGAACCAAAAAGTCCTTTCAAAAAGCAGTGCGCATATTTTAGCTCTACCTATAGAAACCTAAATCCGTCTTGATATTTAGCACGATCTCATGCCGATTTCCTTCGATTGTCTTCATAGATCCCGCAACATCTACTTCGCCAAGAAAAAGTTGACAAACTCCTCATCTACAGTTAATCCGCATGTTAGCCATCCACTCTCGTCCCACAAGCCAAACAAACCGAGCAGGAAGCTCCTCGTCAAAGTGTATACGTACAATCAATCGTCCCATTCCCATCCTTATCCACCTCCTCCATCATAATCTTCAGCTCCTCTTCCGACAAATTCTCGCCAAATGACTTCATCACGTGCGCTATCTCGTCGCCGGAGATGGTGCCGCTGTTGTCCTTATCGAAGACCTTGAACGCGCTGCGCATCTCCTCTTCGAAGTTGGCCGGCTTGGTCTCCGCGGTCATCATCTTGATGAATTCTATGTCGAGTGTTTAGCCATTGTTGAAGCGAGGAGGGGAGGGGGCAGGGGGACAGACCATCGAGATCAACGGAGCCTGTGTGGTCGATGTCTACTTCGTTGATCATATCGTCAAGCTCTGCATCGGTGGGATTGAGACCGAGGGACTTCATCACGGCGCCGAGTTCGTTTCTTGTGATGACGCCTAGGATCGCAATGCCTGTTAGCTAGCTATCTGCCGGGGAGAACCTTGAGTTGGGCGTTAAAAGATATGTGAGAGAAGAGGTACCATCGCTGTCAGCGTCCTATGTACGAACATCAATATCGCAATGTCGAGAATGAGTTCTAACAAGTGGAACTCACGAATAGGAGGAACGCATCCTTCAGAGCTTGCACCTCTTCCGGAGTGGTCGAGTGGGCCTGGATAGAGTTAGGCTTCGTCGTCCCGGACCCGCGCTGCGGCGTTAGACGCAGCGGAGAGTGTAAGGCCCCTTACATGTGCTAGGTCTGGGCCTGGCATGTTGGCTTAAGTTCGTTGCAGGTACGTCCGGTCTATTTGCGGTGCCAGTGCTGGTGAGTAGCTCGATGAAAATTATACATAAGGTGAGATTAGGCTGCCAAAGCGGGGCACAGGTAAGACAACGCCCCTGGTCCTCGACGGTGTCTGATTGGCTACTGAGCAAACTTTATATTTTAATTGATAACGAAGCGGCGTATATATTGATAAGGATGGAGCTTAGTCTCGTGTTTATGAGATTATAAAGACCGAGTATATATAGTCTTTATAAGTTCAGAGAACTTTACGTGCTAATTACGTGGAATTTGAATTTTAACACCTATCTGTTGCGCTGCCACTAGGGATGAATTGGCCCGTGCACATCTAAGTGAACTGAATCAACAAATCATATCGCCAGATTCTTTAATTTAAGACCGCCGATTTGCTGCAATTTTGCGGTATATTTGATCCCGGAAATTCGTCCCTGGTGGCAGCGCAACGGATAACCCCTCATCAAGTCAGTGTTTCGCTTAAAAGTTCAGGGTTATAATCACTAAAATCTCAGGGACTGGCTCGCTAAAATCCAGCGCGCCTCACGGTGGACGGAAAAGCGGCACTGAAATCTCTATGTCCCAAGTCAATATAGGACATTTCAGAAAAACTGCTAACAAATGTTCCCTCGACTTATTATAAAATTAAAGCCCCTTACCTCAGCTATCTCGGAAAGCTAAAAGAATACTACTTATATTTATCTAAGTTTAGTTAAATATATAGCTTTAACTTGAGATATTAATAATTAGTTTTTGCTTTTTATTTTTATTATAAAAGAAGTTTTAGTTATTTCTTATTATTAAACTTTATATATACTTATTTATTTTATTAATTTCTATTCTCGAAAATATATAATTATAGATTTAATAAAAGAAATTTAGAGATTTTATAATTTAGTATTTTATAATATTATAAATATTAGTTTAAATTCAGGCTTTAGAATTTATAAATTATTTAATATAAGAAATATAATAAGTAATATTAAAATAAGCTATTAGATGTCACGAAACCGGGCTCTGGGCTTGGAAAGCAAAGTAGAGTGGCTCTTAATCCGAGAATTCTAAACTAAGGAGGGAAGCTCGTAAGTACAGGAGCTTTAGTATTCTAAATACTAGCCAGCCGCATGCGTTATCGCGTAATCACGTAATGCTAAATTTCCTAGTAAAGCGGCAGAGCATAATATTAGATATATTTTTTATATAATATAAATTACTAAATAAAAACTTAAATTAAAGTAAATTAATTAATAAATAATTAAATATGTTATATTTAAAAAGTAATAATATTTTAAATAATAATATAAATATATATATAATATAAATATATATATAATATAAATATATATATAATATAAATATATATATAATATAAATATATATATAATATAAATATATATATAATATATATATAATATAAATATATATATAATATAAATATATATATAATATAAATATATATATAATATAAATATATATATAATATAAATATATATATATAATTCTTTATTAATAAGCCTAAAAAAAGAGAAGTTATTCTTATATAAAGCTTTAATATTATATTAAGTAAATATTAAAAGTTATATTATTATAATATAATATAAATAAATTCTAGAAATAATAATTAAAAGATTTTTTATATTATATTTAATTTTATTCTCTTATATAATAAGAAATAATAATTATTTAATTTATATATATTATTTCTTTATTTAGTAAAATATATTTAGTACTAGATATAATAATTAAAATTATTAAATAAATATATATTATTATAATATATATAGGATTATATATAATTAAAGAATATATAATAAACCTCGAATATTACAAGTATTAATTAGAGAGATTAATAGCTCTTTATTATTATAACTAACTACTATTTATATTATAAATATTAGACTTATAAATTCCTTATTATATATATATTATTAGGGCCTCTTATTTAGAGAAGGCTTCTCTAAACTTTATAGGAAAAATAGAAATTAGTTTTATACTAAATTTTATATTATAGTTTTATAACTTATTAATTTATTCTATTATTTTATTACTTACTAATAAATATCTTATAAGCTAATTTCTTTATCTTTAAAAGAGGTAATTTAATAAATAATTATATTTCGAAATCTATAAAAATATATAATTCTTTATTAAAATTATTTCTATAAAAGAAGTTAATTAAATTAATTCTAATATAACTAATAATAAAAGCTTATCTAATATCTTTAATAAGGCTCTTTAGAAGCTTCTATAAATAAGTAATAATAATAAAAATAATTCTAGTAATAATTAAGATATTAAGATTAATACCCAAGTTATTATTATTTAAGTTATAAAACAGGACTTATATACTAAAGTTAAAGTACTCTAATAAAAGCAAGAATTAATAAATATAATTAATTAATATATCCTATAATTGGAATAATATAAGAATATTTTTAGAAATATTTTATATTTTATTATATTTTATAGAAACTTTATTTATAAATCTATTTCATTTTTCTTAATAATTTATATTAAAGAACTTTCTAGAATAGAATTAGAACCTATTTTCTTTTTTAATATAATAAGCTTTAAAAATAATCTCGATATTATTTACTAGAAGCTATTATATAATATCCTGAAAATATATTTAAACTAAGAAAAGCTTTTTAAGATCCAAATACCTAATTTATATTATAGAAAGTTCTTTAAAAAATAGAGAATATTTATATCTTTTTAGGAAATAGTTTTTAGGATCTAACCTTAAACTTATAATAGATACTTTTCTAGAATTAACTTTATTATAAATACTTTTAGAAACAAATCTTATAATATTTAAGAGACTATAATAAAATAAAGCCTATTATTATATAAGATTTATTAGAAGTAATTTAAGGCCTATTTAATTAATATATTTCAAGTATTTTAAACCTATTAATAAGATATTTTTAAAGAACTTTAAAATCTTTATTAGAAAAATAGTAATATAGTTACTAAATTATATATTCAAATAATTAGTTTTAAAGTTAATTAGAACCTATATTTTAAAAGAAATTAAATTTGAACTTTTAATATTATTTTATTTAATTATAAAACTTATTAGATACTTATTATTATAGTTATTATAATATATGGTACTAGTAGGAATTAGACTAGAGCTAGAGAGGCATCTGATATTTAAGAGAGGTATCTAGTATCTAAATAAGGCATCTATAGTCACCTAATTATTATACGTGATCCCGAGCTTAAGCTAGTATATAAGCCCGTATATAGCTCGCAATTATTTAGATCCGAGGCTTCTTTAAGATTCTCTTCTTTCTTTAGCTTTAAATTATTGAAATAGAGATAGTCTAACTATATCTTTCAGGCCCTAGATCTTATACTCGTAATATAATTTAAAGCTTACCTACTTCTTAATTCTATAGAAGATTTAAATAATACTTACCCGATTAGTTTTTAATAAGTATAAACGTAATATGCCATAGCTACTCCCGTACTAGTTAACTAATATTAGAATAAAAAAAAGCCTTAAAATAACTAGATAAGAAAGCCCTAGACTAGTTAGGCAAGCAGATAGGCTAATACCTTATTACTAAATAAAGACTTATAAGAAAGCAAGTTCTAGAATAACTAGGTAAGTCAAAAGAAGCTATAGTATAAGATACTACTAGTATATTACTAGAAAATAGACTAGAGCCTCTTATTAAGTCTCCTAAAGAGTTCAAATATCTTATTAATACTTATAATAAGAGAAATACTTTCTTTTAGAGAGCTAAGAAAAAAAAGGAACCTGCCCTATTAAAGGCAAACTTCCAAGAATTACTTTAAAGCCTAAAGGCTTTATATAAGGAGATTATTAAGCTAATTCTAAAAATATATAATATTCTTGCCTATAGTAAGAATTATTATAATTAGCTAAGAGAAACTAAGTAAGCCCTATAAAAGAATAAAGCTATTATTAAGAAGCTTATTATATAGCCTATAGAAATAACCGGTTCTCTTATTCTAGAAAGTAGATATTTAGTTAAATTTCCTAATTCTCTTATTTTTAAAAGTATAACTAAGGACGGTATTACCTTTAATAATTAGTTAGTTTAGATTAAGAATAAGCTTTATAATAACTCTAATACTTACTAGATAAAGAACCTTAAGATTATCTATATTTCCGGCTATATAAGTAGCTATATTCTTATACTAATTTCTCCCTGCCTAAACTAGAATAGTTAATATATATATAAGACTATTAGAGAACTATATACTTACTTAGAGAAGCTATATAGTAACCTAAATAAGAAGTATAATACCCGGTAAGTCTTTAAGAAGCTATTTATAAAAAAGGGCCAGATCTTTTAGGAATTCTATATCCTATTCTTAAGATATATAATAAATGGAAATATTAATCTATAGGACCTCAAGAATAACCTAAATAATAAGCTTACTTAAAAGCTTTAAGAGGCTATAACTATATACTATAATAACCCGGCTATTTATATTACGGAGTTCATATAATACTATACTATAAATAACTAGTAAATCCGAGCTTATTATAAAAAGAAAGACTAGATATCCAAGAAAGCTAATAAAAGTATAAATAAGCCAAGTTTAGGAGGCGCCTCTTATATAAAGCCTGCCTCCAAGACCCTAGTAATAGATAAGCCTGCTATCCTAAAGCCTGAATCCTCAGATCTCAAGTACTATAACTATAATAAATTTAGTTATATATCTAGAAGCTATCTAGAGCCTAAGACTAAATATATAAAGCAAGTCTTAGTAGCTAAGCTAGTAGTACTTATTATAAGTAAGCTATTTAAGAATATAGAGTAAGGAAATAAGAACTTCTAAAAGAAGTCTTTTTTTTAGAATTATATTATATAAATATAGTAGAAATTAATTTGAGCTAGTTACTAGGAAATAAAGCATTTATATTTTCTTATATAATTAGTAATAATAGATTAGGTATTAAGACTTCTTCTCTTATTAATACTAGAATAAATAGATATACTTTTATTAATTCCAAGTTTATAGAAATAATTA